GTGCGGATTCTCAAGTGTCTTCATCAACAAAAGTTCTTTCTCATCTTGATTAACCGACACCGGTACTTCAAGGTCTTGCTTTGTTGTCACAGCAGAGACACGAAAGTCACACACGCGAAAGCGCTTCTTGGTCTTCGCAAAAGTTACGCTGGCCATTCTCTGCACCTTGCTTGTCCCAACAGGCAAAGTCTCCGACGTACGCTTTGTCGGAGAAGAAGCAGACGCCTCCTCAAGTCGAAGCCGTGTAGCCGCAGGTTGCGGCAAAGCTGCTTCCGTTGCGGACCGTGGTAGGCCCTGTGCTTGCTGGTCCAAAGTGACGTGCGGTGGCTCAAAGGTGTCAAGGTCAGGAGGCGTAGCCAAAGACTCCAAGTCCGACAAGTCGTCTCTTGGCGGTACCGCCTCTGGCTCATCACCGCCAAAGTCGTCACCAAGCAAGTCTTCAACTTCTTGCAAAGCTTCTGGTGCAAGTGGCTCAGTCGACTCGTGTTGCTCAAAGTTCGAAAGGTCTGCTGCTGTCGCCTCCTCGGACCGCTTGGCTTGAGGAAAGACAAAAGTGTCCGTCTCAGCCTTCGAACCGGTGGGGTCCCAAGGACGCGCAGAGATCGACTGCAAAAGTGCAAGGTCGGCTTGCCGGGAGGGCGGGTGGCGCTTGACACTGCGGGTCTTAAAGACGCCGGTGGCGTCAGCAACAAAGTGCTGATCAGACTCAGTGTCCTTGCCAAGCCAAACACCAGGCACAAAAGCTGCACGGCCCTTCTGCGGATGCGGCTTGCGGAAAAGTACTGTCTCGCCAAAGCGACAGATAAAGCCGGCATACTTCTTACGCCAGCGCCGCTCAAAAGCCGTCGTTCCTTCCGCGTTGCAAAGGTAACGGTTCACAAGCCACTGCGCGTGACGCACAAGCCAAGTAAACAAAGCCGAGTGCACCGAAAGGTCCACGTCAAAGCGCTCAAGGATGTCAAGGCGCAAAGCTTTGATCTGGCCGTACAAAGTGGCCTGCATGTTACCGACGCTGCCTTGCGCTTGTTTCCAACCGACGGGCGTCTTCCGAAAGGAAAGTCCACCAACCTCACCAGTGACAGAAGTTGCAATAGCGAGGAGGGCGGGTTCGGGGTCCGCTTGCAACACACCGAAAGTTCTGCCCGTTTCAAGCACAAAGCGACGAAGTTCAGCCTGTGAATAAGGTGTGCGGGCCTTGGTGGGGATCACAACAGAAAGTGCCATGCCGGAGAGAACATCGACAACATTCAAAATCGTGATCTGTTCCTCACCAGGCTTGTCGCCAAGAAAGCTAAAGTCCATCTGCAGCACAGGCTGCTTCAGGGAAAGTCTGCGACTCTTAGCCTGTTTGCTCTTGGAACGCACACAAATTTCACACCAGGGCTTAAACGGCAAGTGTGTCAACTCGTGTTCAAGCCGCTCCGTCAAAGTTGGCTCGCCAGGCTGTTTAAGCCCGCGGGGGCGACGCGCAACATAGTCAGGAGCTTCTGGCTCGCACTCAACAAGTTGCAAGTCTGCCTTCTCAAAACAAGTGGCGCCGACAAACGGAGAGCTGATCAAAGTGGCGCCGCGCTTGCGCCAATTGTCAGCATGCCAAAAGGGCACTTCCTCCGTGTTTGGCCTCACAACCAAAGTCATGCGGCCGTCGCCAAGCTGCTCTTCAAAGTGCGGATCCTCAGGCACAAAAAGTGTGGTCCGCTGTTCGTAGTGGACACGCACCCAGCAAGACGGAAAGTCAAGCCACAAGTCGTGCGTGTACGGCTGGCCTGTTGCCGGGTCCTTCTCCAAAAGTTGTTCAAGCAAAGCCTTCCGAAAGTCTTCCATCGTTCCTGAAGAAGTCTGCTCAAGGCGCAGACGGAAAGTGTCCTCGGTGCTTTGCTCCTTGAGGCCTTTAGTGGGTTGCTTGAAAAGTGGTTGTGGGGCCTCTGCTAAAGGTTCCTGCTGCTGTTCAAGTGGTTGTGGTTTGCGTGCAGGTGTGGGTTCAGGTAAAGTTGTCTGTTTTCCAACCAGCTTGCGGCCAGTGGGCTTGGAGGAAAGTTTAAAAACAGTCTTGCCAACAAAGCGTTCAGGAGCAGGCCCTTTAGGGTTCTCCGCTTTACGCCAGTTGTCGGTGAAAGTCTCTTTTCTGCCATCTGCGTACTCAAAGTAGGTTACGCGTTCGTCCGAAAGGTCCTTCAGGTCTACAGGGCGATCTTTCGTCCCTTCGGGAGAAAAGAAAGTAGCTCTCGCTCTTTTGTGTATGCGGGTCAAAGTGTTACCCGAGAGCTCCCATTTATCAATGTGATACTGAACAACAGGTCTAAAGACGGGGGCCACTATGGTACCTTGGGCGCTCTGTGTGTGAAAAGTGTTACACACAACCTCAAACTCTTCTCGGTTGAAAGGTGCCAAAGTGGGCCTCAAGAAAAGAAGTGAACCATGCCTAGTGATGGGCACCTTGTGTCCATCAGGTGTTTCCAAAGTGTTCGCCTTCTTAGAAGAAAGGTTCACGTCAAAGCCTGACCTCAAAAGTCTGCCAACTGACACCACACAGTAGGGAACGTCGCAAACGTAGAAGTGTAGGAAACAGGGCTGGCCCTCAAAGTCAACCTTCACAAGTCTCCTTCCAAAGACCGTCAAAGGCTGACCCGAAATGCTCCTCAAAGGTGGAGCTTTCCCTGTGAGTGGCAAAAGTGGCCACTCCGAGGCAAAGTCCTTCGGGCAACAATGAGTTGCAGCACCTGAATCAAAGAGGATCCACGGCTCGGTGTCCTCCAAAGTCGAAGCAATCAAATGCTCCTCCAAAGCAATATCCTTGAAAGTCGTATTCAAATTCTTAAGATCAAGATCCCCAACACTGAAAAGTCGTTGGTTCTCCTCCGTGCGACCATTCAAGGAGAAAGTCTCAAGCGGTGCCATACAGGCCGTAGGCTCAAAGTTCTCACACTCTCCGAAACCACCAAAGCTGAAGTCTACAACTCCATTCGTCATCCCATCAACTCTGAAAGTGTTCCCCAAACCAAAGTTGCCGAGAACAACAGCCGACATGAGCAAAGTGCTCGGGCTGATGCTTGCTTTAGCTTTAGGCTTGGCTTTGGGGGTTGAAAGTCCAGGTGGTCCTTGCAAAGTCACAGCCGACACGGGCAAAGTTGCCGCGCCGCTTGACGAGGAAGCCTCTTCCTTGGGCTTCGCCAAAGTTTCGGCCTTCGCCGAAGGAGCAGCCTCTGAAGGCCAAACTTCTGAAGTAAAGTCCGAAGACCAACCCCAAGGGTCAACATCCCAGGACCAAGCATCCCAAGACCAAAGTTGATCATCCCAAGTCTGATCCCAACTGTTAGGGTCGTTGTAAAGTTCCGTGACCGCGTTCACGGCCCATTCGGTCCAATCTGTCCAATCATCGGACTCACCAAAGTGATTCCAATCTCCTGCGTCCTCCGACGGGTAAAGTTCTTCACCTTCAACAGCTGAAACACGGTTCAAAGGACAGTTGCTCGAAAAGTGACCTGTTTTACCACACGTCCAGCAAACCGAAGTAGAACCAGAAGTGGGCTTTCCTTTTCCTTTTCCTCTTCCTTTTCCTTTCATCATAAAGTTCCAATGTTGTCCTCCTTTTCCAAACGACTTCGAAAAGTCCTTTTCCTTTTCCTTTTCCTTTTCCTTTTCCTTTTCCTTTTCCTTTTCCTTTTCCTTTTCCTTTTCCTTTCTTTCCTTTTCCTTTTCCTTTTCCTTTTCCTTTCCACAAAGCTGCCGCTAAGGCACCAATGTCCATGGGAGCCGAGGCTCCACCAGCAAAAGTTGCATTCGCCGAAGTTTGTGCAACTGGATTCATCAAAAGTCGTGACCTATGGTACTCAAGGATAACTTCTCGAACTTGAGCATAAGTTGCCAAAGTTTGGGCATTCAACCTAAGGTGTTGTTGTAAAGCTCCAGAGGTTTTGTTCAGCAAAGTTGCAACAAGAACACCATCAGGCAAAGGTTGTCCTACTTGTCGTTCATATCTACTCTTGATTGTCTCCCAAACATTAAAGTCCTGCTCAAAGGTTGCTGGGTTGAACTTAAAGTCCAACAGCTGCGTCAAAAGTGACGTACTCCGCGTGGCTCCTGGCAGCGAGAACTTCTTGTAAAGTCTCCTCCATGTCTCAAAGCCGTTGCTGTCCTCGTTCTGACGAACAACAAGTTTCGCCGAATCTTTCACAAGTTGAGAAATCAGGTAATGTAGCTTTCGGGAGAAAAGTACTCGGTTGGCGGTCTGTTCCGGATCAACATCACCTGTGCCCAAAGTGACTGTTAGATCAGCATCTGTAAAGTCACCCTGCGCTGCCGTTCGCATTTCGGCATTGTCCATCAAAGTCACAGCACCTACCTCGAACATCGAAATGTACGCTTTAAAGTTCCATGACCATTCTTCCCAGTCTGCTGGGTTCCCAGAGAAAGTCTCTGGCAGAGGAAGCCGAAGCTTCCCTGTAAAGTTGTCTTCACCTCCTAGCGCCATGTTGTTCTACCAAAGTTCCGTGGAGCTTTCAGCTCCGCTACCATGCGAAAGTACACTAGTCCAGAATGCGCACCAAACTACCCTAAAGTAATTCCGTGCACAAGCTCACACGACTTAGACCAAAGTAACCCTGAAGTTCAGCAGCGCCTTTTCTCGTCGGGCAAAGTGGTCTTGAGCCAACGACGGTTGGCAAAGTCTGGGGGAGAAAGGGAGGTGTTATTTTCACACACACACACACATACATACATACATACATACATACATACATACATTTTACGTACATACATACATCTATACCACATACGTACCTACATACACCCCGAAGATGCCGCATCGGCATTGATAGAATCCAGCGCCTTCCTCCAAGAAGCGTCGACTGGTGGCAGCACCAGGTCAGGGTTTCAGCACTCTTGCAACGCACAAGCGGCTGTGCTGAAGAAACCTATAGAAGTCGCGCTCAAAGCTGGGTATTCTCACAAAGGATTATAAGTTATAAAGGATAACCGGGTGCTGGTGATTCTGTACTCTTTCAGCGCTTTTTCATCTCTTTCACCACAAAACTGCCGTAGTTGCTTGCAGTCAGACCTGGGCATGCGACAGGCAGCTTCTCTGAGTCTGTCGACCCTTGAACCCAGAAAAAATCTCCATCAACGCTCTGACGTCTTTCTGTTCAAGCCTCTTCCCCTGTGATAAGCTCGTTGGATTGAAAGAAACCGAAACAACAACAGGCTCCGAACGCACGACAGACCCACATCTTGTCCAAGGCTTTTGGGAGGCTGCAGACGCCGACTCTTGCAAATCCATCTTTTGCTGTGGGAAATTGCTAGCCCCAAGAGCCTCCTGGTGAGTACAACTCGCTCGACAATTACTTGTGCGCTCAAACTGGGCAGCCGAGTGTTTATGAGGGGTTGGGAGTATTCTGGCCAAGTCTGCCAAGTTGCTGGCAAGCTCCTGCACTCATGGGACAAGCGGCAGACAGCACTGCTTGCGGGCTCACAGCGCTTCTTCAAAAGTCTACACTCCTCCGCGTTGCCAGCCATGGCGTTCTTGAGGCTCTCTCTCTCTTCCGGGGAGCTGTGCAAGAGTGCACACTCCACGACATGGCTGGCCACCTCCATAGAAAGCACAGCCTGCTATCAATCCTCTCTGGGAGCTTGTCACATCCGAGCCAGGCACCTTGTGCCTTGCCAAACGACCCATTTCTGGCCGCATCGCCTTCAGGGTGCAGAGCCCTTGGGGTCAGTTGCGGACGGTGCATGGCGCTGTAGCACTATGTGGCACCACCGTTCCCCTTGCCTCGCAAAGCCGAGTCCTTTGTTCTGTGTTGCCATGTGCCAGGCTGTGCTGGACGACGTAGTTTCCTCGATATGCCACGTATGCTCACACGAACGCGCCTCCACCCACCAAGGCCAAGGCTTTCAAGTTTCATGTGGAGGTCTTTGGTATATTGGAGGGTCGATCTCTAATTCGTGAACACGCTTTGCGTAACGGCACACCTCTACGCCAAAAAAAGGCCGTTTGCGCCAGGAGTCCATACGGATGTCGACAGAGCCTCAGAACAACGGAGTATTCGCATGCCTGCATGCAGGAACAAACGGACCTGGACTGCACATCCACCGGCCGGGTCGCTCCAGCACATCGGATAGAACCTCCATCAACATGAATAGCACTCCCAGGGTCGCAAGCCTAGGCCTAGTCCCCTCAATCCTCTAGCAGCTCTAGCGGAGAACATCTTCTTGCAGTGCTTGCAGTAGCTCGAAGGGCCTCCTTCGCGATTGGCTCCAGCTGCTCGGGCCAACCATGCTCCAGCAGGCGCTCAAGCACCTGGACTTTCAGTTGACCGCTGGAAGATCTCACTGAGCATCTGAATCTGCCAAAATTTCGGCACTTTTAATTCGAGTAAAACAGCCGACACTAGCGCAGTTTGGAGTTGTCAATACGATGTAGCCCATTTACGACAAGCAGTCTACTGCACAGTGTTCTATTTCACGTTGATGATGTTCTCTATATCGCACATCATGCCTTCTAATAGGTACGATCACGATGCATAAAGTTGCCATGCTTGCAGAACACACGTGCGCCACAAGTTGTCGATCATATTCTCCTCATGCTTGCTACTCCTTTGTTTACTATTGATTTCGATTTACGGGACTGAAGATCAATCTGACGTCGCTCCGGTCAAAGGCGCCAGGTTTGCAGGGCTCGACGCGGCGAACACATTCAGATGACATGCCCCCGGATTTCTTTGCACTGGGGCAGGTTCTGCTATATAGGATTTTGGAAGCTTGGGATCTGCACTGGGGACTGATTCGCTTGAGCCTCGCGTGATCACTGAGGTCTGCACGCGGCAACCGAACGGATGCCGAGCAGCATCCCCGACACGACCTGCACGCTTTCGTGGGACACCACTTAACCATACCTACAGTAGGAATCGTAGCAAGAACGAGCGAAGTGAGAAGTCAACAGCAGGCATGCCTCAGCAAGGTTTAGAATTTCACGAAGGGCGACATCCGGCAACGCTCTGTCATGTTGAGGCCTCGTAGCTCGAACACGATGAAGTCTAGCTTCTGCGGAGGCATGTGCGCGATCGCCTGCAACGCAGCAGGTGATGACAGGCAGTCTGCAGCTTGAGCCTGATATCAGGTACCGAGCCTTCTGAAGCACATGGTTGGCATGTGGTGACTTCAACGCCTGCCTTGGTCGAAACGAGTCAAGAAACGGGTAGAAGCCGGACCAGGCGAAACCGGATTCACATATGCTGGTAGTTGGTCATGGTATGCTAGTAATTTGCAGGGCACAGGCCGTCCTCAAGTCAAGGACAAGGGGCCACACCTTACCCTTCAAGACGTCCAGCAGGTTCTGCTTCTCTGAAACCTCTGAAATCTCGAAGGCAGCCTGTACCACTCGGGTACCGTGCTTCGTTATAGCCATGCTCCACCTTAGCACGTAGTCGAATTTCATCACAGGGTCTGAAGCGAACCAGCAAGACAAGGTGGGTTCATTTCCAAGCCACGCATCTTGCACTATGCGCTCGATCAGCCTCGTGAGATCAAAGCTGCAAGAGCTGCAAACCGATTCTTGCCAGCTTGACGAAACCCAATGGTCAGACTACCCCGATGCCCAGCCTCTTGCGCGAGGCCGCATCTAGCCCTGGTGCCCGCAGCTGGCGCACAACTGCCTCCGATTCTTTGCCATTCCACCTGGGCATGAAGCGGCTGTGGAAGAACAACCCACAGAATGGTGCAGTGCCTGGACGTGGCGGCGCGCTCCGCCCGATGGCTTGGAGTCTGGGTAGAAACGGAGGACCCCATTTCCATGGAAATCTCTGAAGGCGTTGAGGACCTATGCGCCAAGAGACAAGCCTGCAAAGCCATGCCCATGTCTCAGAGACTCCTTTCTAAGGCGACGACACCGAGGGTGCACGATTACCCATGCTAAAGTTGCGCAGCTGCTCCATGTCCTCGGCATAAAGGTCTCCACAACAGTAGCACACCAGCCATCGTCTGCAAAGTTTGCATATGCAAACAAGCAGTAGCGATGGCACGTGCAAAGCCAAGATGCTACTTGCGGCGCGGGCTCGTCGCCTGCATTGGCCACGACACCAGCTGCTGTCAACACGTTCACACACTGAAATTTACCTGGTCCACCCGGCAAAGGCTGTTGCAGAGACTTCTCTGCAGTTGAGTGGCCCTGCGCGACTGGAGCGTTCTCTGGCCTTAAGCGCACCGACCAGCTGGGAAGAGTGCCCGCTGCGAGCAACATCCTCTAATCGTATCGTTTGTAGGCTTCGTTTGTCGAACAGAGATCATGCGAATCAAACACAGCGAAGAAAGTAAACTACTTGCGGCTCGGTCGCACAACAGGCACTGCAACCAGTACCATTTGCTGCATCTGCGGCATAGGGGCAAACGCCTGCAGCCTCAGTTGAATTGTCGCCCATGTTGATAGGAAACTCCCTGCACAATCTGCGGAAGCGTCTGCGCTAGTCACGACATGACATGGCTCTGGGCTGTCTGCTGCGGCTGCTGTGACATAGCCTGCTGCATCTGCATCTGCATCTGGTGGTTGAACTGCTGCGGATTCACGGCATGCTGCCTTGCAGCACGGGGCGGCAAGAAGCATCCAACGACGGTTTCTCTGCACTCAAGAAAACCGGCTAGCCTTGACAAGTCTGCCTGAGCTTCAGACTGCATCTGATTCGGCCAGTAAAGGACCTGCTGCTGGTGAAACTGCTGCGCGTCGTAGAACTGCATCTGCGGTTGCTGTGAGTTCTGCTGCGGAAACCGCTGCTGCTGCTGCTGCTGCTGCTGGTTGAAGAAAGCCATTCCTTGCCGGTCTGGCTGCTGCTGGTGCTGCTGCTGATGCTGTTGCTGCTGCTGCATCTCATGCTGCATCACTTGCTGCATAAACTGCATTCGCTGCTGATGTCCTGAGGTCAGTTGCAGAGAGTCTCAGAGATTTCAGAGCAATTTCAAAGTCAGACGCCATCCCTCTCTTCCCATTCGCTTCACCGTTTCGCCACGTCTCCAATCTGCTCGGACCTCTCGTCCTCGTCTTCACTCGCGGTCTGCCAGCCCGCGAGCTCCGCCTCAGACCTCGCTGCCGTGCATCGCCGTGGGGGTTTCTTCCGGGCTTTCGGGAAGAAAAAACCCTGCTGTCAGCATGTCGTGCCTTGTTAATTTCGCCGTAGGGGCTAACCATATGTCTCTGGAGCCCATATAAGTGGCGACATACTCTGACCCAGCATTTGACCAAAAAACATACACTAACCAAACCAACTCCAATCCCCGACACTTCCTTGCCTCTTCTGGCGCACAGCGAGGGCGGCGGAAAAATCGGAGATTTTACAATCGCACGGCAGTCAACTCGGAGACTTTGACGAGTGAGATCACACAAATCGGCAGGTTGGCGGCGTGGCGGTCAACTCGGAGAGTGTACTCAGGCGGCGGCTACACGTCAACACGAAAGCATAATGGTATGGGTGTTTGGAATCCTGACCGTCTGAGTCCCGATGTGGGCGCTATCGAAAATCCACACGAGTACACGCGTGGCTGAATCTTGATTGCACCGGGCATGTCTCAACAAGAAAAAATCGTCTGCGCAAAAAACAATGGCCCGTCATACATGAAAACTTGTTGTGGTTTCCTGTTCATCTATTTATTTGGGATTTCTGTATGTTGTAGGGTGCAGGTGGTGCAGGAAAGCGTGCGCAAATCTACATCACTTGTGAAGAATGGGCACAAAGGGCCCGGTGGAGCTCCCTCGACAGCACAGGCCGTCTCCAGAATGACGAATGTCGGATTGTCGGAGCAAAGCCGAGCATGAAAAGAATCGAAACAGTCGAAACATGGCAAACTCACGAGGCTCAACATCCATGCAGATGCACATCAGTTGCAATTTGCACACCGGCCTTCGAATGTTTTCGGCGCTCGAGATTCTGCTCAAGTTGAGGCGCACTCTCTTGGAGTGAGCTCCTACAGCCGCTGATGCCTTGCTGTTTTGCAAGGACGCAGCGTGCCCCTGGACCTGCGTGGCTTTGACGGGAACGAAACCACACCGCGGTCCATTGAACCCGGTAACCCCGACCCCTGCCCCTGTGCTAACACAAACACAGCAGCTGTTGCACTGTGCCTGCAGCACCAAACGAAAACGTCGTCATTGACACATCAAAATCAAAGCATCAAGCGCTTTGAAAAGTTTGGACGACCGGCCTCGAAGACCTCGAAACGTTACTATTGTCACAGTGAATGAATCATATAATAACATCATATAATGATATAATATACAATCATACATGAGTCATACGAGTTACGAGTTGCTTCTAAGGCTAAGGCTAAGCGCTACGTCAGCTATGTGATTATGTATGTTGCTAAAGCACCATCGGCACGAGTGTCCAAGCGCTGCGAAACACGTCCTAGCACACTGCACTGCGGAACCACTTGAATCACAGCTGCAACACTAGCAGGCTGTGACACCGCCTACTTGTTGGGCTTCTTCGACGGCTTTTCCGAAGCCGCTTCTGCAGCACGCTTGGCCTTTGCCTGATCGGACTTGGAAGGCGGCGAAGGCGGCTTACCCTGCTTCGGTGCCGCATCCGACGGCTGCGCAAAGGACGCCGCTGCTTTCGACAAAGCCTGCAAGTCTTTGTCCGTGCTCAACTGATCCAGTGCTTCGGCTCGGGCTTTCTCAGCGGCCTTCGCACTAGCAGCCTCAGCATCCTTAGCCTTAGCAGCCTCAGCAGCAGCTGGATCAATGGCGGCCTCGGCCTGAGCAGCCTCAGCAGCTGGATCCTGATCTCCGTTTGCAGCAGGCGCGGCGGCGTCGCCACCGTTGTCGATCACGGCTGCATTGCCACCGTTCGACTGGGCCGGCTTGGCAATCTCCTTGACCGCCTTCTCGAGCACTTGCATGGACTGCTTGCCCAAGCAACCATCATCGATGAACTTCTGCATCAGCTTTGCCACGTTACACGACTCCACAACCGTGCACCTCCATCCATATGTCATCTGGCCGTTGAGGGTGCGCTCGGAGAAGATGTAGCCTGACGGAATGTAGCACATGGAGCCGGGCGGACATGTGATCCGAAAAGCCTCAAGGTCTGGGAGCTCCTCGATGTGGACCAAGCCGTTCTTGTCCAGGCGGTCGTGCAAGAAGGTCGACATCATGCGCATGGTGGGCAAGCCAGGCTTCGGAGTTGGGAAGGGCTCATCCAACTTGGAACAAATCTTCTCGATGATGTTCGTGACGTTGTCGAAGCTGATGCAGGTCAGCTCACGTGTGCCGCGAGATGCAAACTTCAGAGCCCCCAAGCCGAGCAACTCGTACGAGGTTCGGATCATATCAGCGGTGCAACCCCACATGGACACACCCTGGATCTCACAGCACTTGGTAAGCTTCACGCTGGTGGATGGAGCAAGTTCCATCAGCTTCTCCCGCACATCATCCGTGGCGGGTGCCGCGCAGTGAGAGTAGCCCTCCTGCTGTGCGCCGTTCGACTTCGGGAAACTTGCCTGGCTCAGGAGGTGGATGCAAATTCAAAGCCACAGCAGTCCTTCAAAAAGCCCTAAAAGCAACCCCCCTCTCCCGGCCCGGGAGAAGGGGGTTGCCTTGAGCCCTAAAAAGGCCTGGTTCCTTCTGTGGTCCCAGCAATGAGGGCTTCCTGGCTACATGTGCCGAGAATCAGACGGACATCTGACTGGTGGAGCTTTTCGGTATAACCACTGAATCACTGAAGTCCAAGCCATACCCCGTCCCCGCAGCTGAATTGGAAAAGACTCTCGCAACACTAACAGCATGTCATACGATGGCAAAGAGATATCGGCTTAGTCTACGATTTAGGATTTCGGGTTTGGGGTCTGATGACATATTGTGCGCAATCCCTGCCTTGAAGAGGGAGAAGTTGACTTTGGCGGAGGACTTGGATTCCTCCGCCTTCAAGGTTTCAACGTCGCTGATGATGAACGGCTTCTTGAAGTCGGGCTTCCCTGCACGGTACTCGGCGATGGTCTTGTACTCTGGCATTGGTTTAATCCATGAACCACAGAATGCCAACAAGCCAGGCAATTTCTCACCGCCTCGCATTTGGTCCACCTTGCTTTTCTCCTCCCGCTCTCGCTGCTTTTCGGCTGCAGCTCGCTCCTTGTCTTGCTGAGCTTGCAGGCGTGCCGATTCTTTGCGAAGATCCCGGCTTTGCCGGGTGAGCTGCGAAAAGGAGCTGCGGGCACCGGTGACCAGCGATCTGTTCAGATCCAGCTCATCCTTCAGCTGCTGCTCGGCTTTCTTGACTCCGTCCTCAGTGTCCTGCAGCCTGAACAGCACGTGGTAGCGGAAGTTGATGAGGAGGAGCGGCGCCACCTTCTCCATGAGGGCTGGTTCCAGGATGAACCGCGCACCGGATGAGAACCATTCAATAACGAGATCCATGAAGGTTTTCGCAAAAGTCACCTTCGCAAAGTCATGCATGTCCTGCAGAAAGGCTTCGAAGTCAGGGGTGACAGAGAAGCCACTGCCCGCCCACCCGTGGAGGCTGAAGATGTTCTGCAGGAGTTCCTTCTCTACCATTGGAAGTGCATCATCCGACTCGTCTTCCTGTGGCACAGAAAATCCACGCTCGAAGATATCACCTACCTCCGCGGTTACAAAGTGCAGGGCGCGGTTGGCGGCATCATCCGTCTTCTTCTCGAACAATGCCAACGCCTCCGTGCAAACCGCAACCAGCTTCAGCGCGGCACCATACTGTAAGCCGTGATCACCCTTCACAAGCGGTTGCACAAGTGCACACTCTGCCTCGCTCAGCCCACCAGTGTTGGTAGGGGTCAAGGTGAGGTCCTTAGGCAAATCATCGCACTCCATCGCAACAGCCTTGATCACCACCACGCGGAAACTCACCTGCTGGGAGACCCTGGTCATTTTGGCCATGTTGGCCGGGGTCTCCTTGTCCCAGAACTCCTGGATCTCTTTGAGCAGGTCCTGTGAACGGTTTAGCGTGTTGGTTTAGGGCTGGTTCTGTTTTGACAATCAGTCACATCCAGGGTGTAGGGTTTAGGAGGTCTAGGAGTCTAGGGCTTAGGGTTTAAAGTTTAGTTTAGGGTCCTCTGCCGACTTTTTGGCGCTGTCGTATCGCTTCTTCAGCCGGAAATCCAAGCCATCCAACATGTCCTCCAAGACGAAGGGCTTGGCCTTCTTTTTCTTCTCTTCCTTCTCCGGTCCCTTAGACGGGGTCGCGGCTTTGGAACGAAAGCTGGAGGGTTCTGCAAACACGACAGAGCGACCGGAGGAGTCCACAATGGCACTGCCGCCACTGTTCTGAACACCTCGCAGAGCCTGCTTCGTGGACCCCATGCGGGAAAAGAAGTTGTCGGAGAAGTGGAGTGATGACGAGGTCAGTGCTTCCTCCGCGGCTTCGATGTCGGCTTCCTTGGGGTTCTTCTTCTCCTTCTCCTTGAGCTGGACCTGGTGCTGATGAGCCAGGCCTTGGCTGCCCAGCAGCGTATCAAAGTCGTGGATGTAAATCCACGGTTCCAGCTGCCGCCCTGGGGCGGTGGGCTTTTGCTCAATGCACGCATCAGGCGTGGCGGCAAGAACCCTTTTCCACTCCTCGGAGGCGTCCTTCGGGTCCCATCCCCACTCGCTGGTGATCTTCGTGATGTACATGCGACGGTTCATGGATTTGTTCTGAAAGTTTGCAGTCATAGAGCTCTGCTGCGACAGCACCGTGACCTCCTGGATAGCCTGGTAGTTGCCCGTCTTTCTGCCCGACCCGGGGTTTCCCCCTTTAGCAGGCTCGGCTTCCACAAGCATGCGCTGCCACTCTGGGCCTTGCTGCTTTCGGATGTTCATAAAGCGCTTCCACCTGTCAGGCTCCTGGTCCTTCAGCTTCGTCTCAGCGGTGTAGAGGTTGTCAGACACCCTCTTGTGGTCGTCGCACAGGCTGCCCTTTGTCGCCGGCCGGGTGCAAGCTATGCAAAGGCGGATCTTCTGCTCACTCATCGGCCCTTCCGTTGTAGCCGGCGACGACGTCTCGCTGGGGGCGCACTTGCAAGCCGAGGAAGTTGGAGTGCCTGGCGCAGGCCTTTTCTTAGTGGGAGTCCGGGGAACAGGATGAGGCGCAGGCGGTGGTGCAACATCCTCGTCCCCATCTGCTGCGTGACCCGACGAGAAAGCCTCAAAGCCCTCCATCTCTTCTTCCAGAAATGCATCAGGCTGAAGCTTGTTGTCCTCATCATTAGCCACTGCCGCTGCCTTGCCAGAAACACTCATGGTGACTGGCGCTCCGCAGCCCAGGACACACGTACGAGATCTTCACTATGCGACTATGCGCCACTTGCTCCCTAAGTTTATAAGCTCACACCTCAAACAGTATCTTGATGCGAGAAGCATACAGAATTATGCTGACATGACGATATAATCCTGCGGCACCTCATTGATGGAAGTCTCCAAAGTGTTCCACTGGAGGCAGACCATACAGCACACAAGTGAAGGTTCCTCGCTCTCGCAGCAACGAACAAGCACTGCTTTGCCATGTCAATCGTGACATGCTTCGGATGCTTCGTCATTTCGAACTGATGCAAGCCGCCCTCTAAGAAGGTACATGAAGCAAACTGAGCATCTACACTCTGCAGCACAACCATTCCCATTGTCATTTTCTGATGCTCACGAACGACGACCAAACGTTCTGAATGCCTTCCACAAGCTGCTGAGATCGGCAGCCTGTGCATTGTGCAACAAAGCTCCCTTGAACTGGAACTTCTGCAGGCACGGACGGTTGTGGCGAAGCAGACAAATCAAGCCCATGATGATTAGAATTCTCAGAAGTGCGCAAAACTCGTACGGTACGTCCCTACCGTCATCTGTGATGCTGCTGCAACCTGTAGGACCCAGCACATCCCAACGACACAAAACTGGCTAAGTGCACTCGAGATTGAAGGAATGGTGCAGGTCGTGCCGCCCAAACACAAGCTGAGCTAGAATACAAAACCAGACCATCATCTAGGCTACCACCTTCGTTATGGGGAGGGGGCTCACCTGCTCAACCGCAATCTCTTCTTCGCTCCTGCATCCTCAGCCGACTCAGCCGGCTGGGCCGGCTGCTGTGCACTCGATAGGCAGCCAGACTCAGGGCACTTATACGAACTGTTCTCCAAGTCCTCATCCTGGCGCGGATCTGCACGTTCTGCTGCATCTGGCTTCTCCTGCGAATCTTCCAGCACGTCCGAGGTGAAGCCGCGATGGAATTGGAACCCATCACACCTGAACTCTCCCCCTGGCACACGAACGACACTGGAAAGAAAGTACAGCATCACTGCGGTGAGCAATTGCTGGTGCATGGCATTGCCAGCCAAATCCTTCCACTGGCCACACTGGGCTCGCTGCTGCCACGCGAACTCTGCAAAAGGGCACTTGTACTTCGTGACGACGTGCGGGAACGTGCTCTCGCCTAGGCACGTGGCTGAAGGAATGGGACAAGACTCATGGGACATGGGACGAAGGCTAGCTGGAAGGCTCACCTGCAATCTGGGTTTGAAGTTCTGAACGTTAGCTCCTGAGTGGCGGGGCGGCACGGGTCAAAATACAAAGATCCACTCTAGGTTCACGGCTCCTCACCAAGGAAGATGTCATATCTTCAATTAGCACTACGGCACTTGCAAGACTGCTGCAAGCAGGGCACCCATCAGCAGCAAGTGGTCCAAGCCAGTCAGCATCTCTCCCGTCTGTCCATTAATGATTTTGTTGTGGGAGGTTAAGCATGGCCCAAGAGTGGAGATGGGTCCATAGCCCACTTCCTGCGCCACATCGAAGCAGAAGAAGTCTTGTTCACCGAAGCCCCTCTGCGTAGCCCGGCTCCGATACTGATTGGCACAACGAAACTCTGCAGGACTGAGAACCAAATCCACCCTGGACGTTGCCCTTCTGGAAAAAACCACCCGTTCTTCTGGGCCAACGCACGTGCAACTTCCTCGCGGTGCTGTAGGCCTGGTTGAAAAAAGACATCAGCAGTGGCCACACACCTGCTGCAGAATATGTCTTTGAATTCCTTCCACGACCCAACATTCGTGAACTGGCGACGTAGCACACACACTGAGAACTGCCGGGCACGGCTCACAGGAATCCCAATCTCATGCGGGCTGAGGGACTCCGTCTGTATCTCATACAGATCGGAGAGAGGTCCGCATGCAGGCGGTCACGAGCTTCATTGGAACAAGTGATCTCATGAATGATCATATCGGGTGCTTGGCTGCGGACCATTCCCAGCCAGACCAGATAGGTCTTCGTGTTCGGTCCTGTGAATCCCTGGCGGCAGCCCCTCCTCGAGACGTCCTTACACGTCTGCCCTGCGACCCACAAGGTGAAAGTCTGTGGGGACGGCTTTGCAGGCCAGACACGGCAGCCCTTCTTGCAAGCATGATTGTAGCATGGTGCCTCTTTGTCCTGAGGATATGCTGTTGACTGGTTCTTGCGCAAATACTCATGCATGGTAGCAAACGCAACTTCTCGCTCACTGTCACTCTGTGCCTTCGCAGGCATCAACTTCTCTATTTCGTCACGTGCCTCAGTACTCAAGCAGGACTCCATCGCACCGAAGATGCAGGTCGGCTTGCTGTTGCATCCGTGTTGAAGCAGGACTTCAACAGCAAAGCGTTTGGAGTCAAACGCGGTTGCCATTCGATCAAGCCCTGCACCTTCTTGAAAGATGCTGTGCTCTTTGCAAAGCTGAGCTATGTGAGATGCACACGTCTCCGCTGTGCCTTTGCCAGAATACTGAGTATGCAACATCAAGCCGGGCTCCAAGAGAGCTTGAAAACGGTACAAACGATCCTGCCCTTCATGTCCTTCATACACGTTTGCCCAGGCATGGTCAGCGAAATCCAGAATGTCCTCCAGGTTTGAAGGTCCTGCCGGCGCCCCCGCCGGGCCACTAGCCTCACCGGCCTGAGATAGACTCGGGCCACGGCCGCGGCCCCGACCCCTTGCCATGCTTCCGTACACGACGACTAGCTCACTAGTTTTGTGAAGATCTGTGAGAATCTGAGATCGCTCCATTATGCCCTGGAATCTAGCAGTTGCACAATCTGCACAAGACCACTATGTGTGCTGAATGCCTCGCCTCCTTTGACCACAAGCTCTTGCTGCCCTCTGAGACTCTGAGCACCAGCAAAAAAAAAACAAGCTTGGAGCTCACACTGGCAGCCGCACTTCAAAAGGAGACGTGCAAAACGCGGACGTTTAAGTGTGCTGCGTGCTTGCATGTCTTTCACACACGTAGATTGTATTTGCACTAGGCCATGTGTGTGTGTCCAGGTGTCCATACATGAACAAATGCTTGCGCCCGGGACCTACCTGTATCCATACACACACAACAGACAGAAGGACAGACCGACAGACAGCCAGACCGACTGACCGACCGACCGACATCCATCCATCGATCCAGGCACTCCTCCATTCATCCATAGCTCGCTCCATCCCATCCCAGCATGCATCCATCCATCCACTCGCCCATGCATCTGTCCTTTGCACCAAGACGGCAGGACGGAAACATCAACGTGAACAAACAGTGGTGTATACATGTGTGTAACATCATCATGCATACAGCATACATGGCATAGAATAAACTTCCATGCACCCAACACGCACAGCATCGTCCACCAGCCACCCAGCCTATCGCCCAGCCAGGCACGAATGCATGCGCACCTACATTCAACATGCACGTGTATATATATATATATATATATATATATATGCATGTATGTGCATGTTGTACAAGAATCTCCGCACATGACACAGAGGGAGAGAGAACATTGAACACATGAGCTCGCCCTCTCCGCCTCTCCCTCTCGCTCCCTCTCTGTTAACCTTTCTCCTCTAACTTTCCTCGCTCTCTCTCTCTCTCTCTCTCTCTCTCGCTCTCCCTCTCGCTCTCTCTCGCTCTCTCTCTCGCTCTCTCTCGCTCGCTCTCTCTCTCTCTCTCTCTCTCTCTCTCTCTCTCTCTCTCTCTCTCTCTCTCTCTCTCTCTCTCTCTCTCTCTCTCTCTCTCTCTCTCTCTCTCTCTCAAACTGCTTACATACTTACATACATACTTCCTTCCGTTGCCGCACGGAGGGTCTTGCCATCCCTTCTGTGGGCACCTCCACAGGTTCGCTCCCACCATCACGTATCAGGTGCAACAATATATAAGATCACAGGAAGTAGAAACTCGCAACACTATCACTATCGACTACCAACTGGTCCAGCCATCGATTCAGAGTACCGGAAACAGAAGAGTAACCAAACGAAGCGGTCGCACGGGCACCAATTCGAGGCGATGACCTGTACAGTTGAGCCACACAGTTCAACAACCCAACCTGCACCAACCGGAAACAAAAGAGTAACCAAACGAGGCGGTAGCAGGGGCACCAGTTCGAGGCGATGACCTCTACAGTTGAGCCACACAGTTCACAAACCCAACCTGAACCTGAACCTACCGAAAACAAAAGAGTAACCAAACGAGGCGGTCGCAGGGGCGCCAATTCGGCAGGCAGGCTTCTGCAGGGCCCGAGTCCCAGTCCCAGTTGATGCTCACGATGCAAGGCCGCAAGGCTGCAGGGCGAGACCCCCATTTGTGGAATATGTTTCAGTACGCACATATCACAAACCCAGCCGGGCTCACGAGAGCCATCCTGATGAAAAGAAAATAGAAGGGCTGGTGCCGGGACGGGACTGGTCCTGAAGAGAAACTAGAAGAGGATTGGGGGGTTCTGGAAGGTTTGGCTGGCACCGGGACGGGGTGGTCCTGAAGAGAAAGTAGAAGGGGATTGGGGGGTTCTGGCAGGTTTGGCTGGTGCTGGGACGGACTGGTCCTGAAGAGAAACTAGAAGGGGATTGGGGGGTTCTGGAAGGTTTGGCTGGCACCGGGACGGGATGGTCCTGAAGAGAAAGTAGAAGGGGATTGGTGGGTTCTGGCAGGTTTGGCTGGTGCTGGGACGGAATGGTCCTGAAGAGAAACTAGAAGGGGCTTGAAGGGTTCTGGAAGGTTTGGCTGGCACCGGACGGGCTGGTCCTGAAGAGAAAGTAGAAGGGGATTGGGGGGTTCTGGCAGGTTTGGCTGGTGCCGGGCCGCACTGGTCCTGAAGAGAAACTAGAAGGCAGAGGAGCATTTGGGGGTTTGGCTGGCACCCGGACGGGCTGGCCCGCGCTGGTCCTGAAGAGAAACTAGAAGGGGATTGAGGGGTCCTGGAAGGTTTGGCTGGTGCCTGGACGGGCTGTTCTTGAAGAGAAAGTATAGAAGGGGAGCCCGTGCAATCCAAAAACCACACGAATCCCCGAAACCATTGACAATTTCAGAAACGGTGCTGAAACACCATTTTTTCGAGTCAAACCCTTTGGCGGGCTAGTTTGCTGGCCCTCCAGGAATCACGGGAGAAAGGGCAAACCCCCCGCGCGGAGCCAGAGCCGGGATTCCCGTTCGCGGGCAGGTTCGCGGGGAATCGCGGAGAATCGCGGGCGAATCGCGGGCGATCCAGTTTGGGCAGGATCGGCCTAAATTCGCGGGTCGCAGGTTTCGGCCAAAATCCTGGAAACGAGCCGGACTGAGTCGAAAAAATGCTGTCGCCAGCTGTTTGCGCAGACACCGAGCCTTTTTCGACCAAGCTTATTGGGCACCATGGAAAACTGCTTGCTGGAAGATCGAAAGCAAACCCCCCCATTTCGGGTCGAAGGCAACCAGGCCTTTTTAGGGCTCAAGGCAACCCCCTTCTCCCGGGCCGGGAGAGGGGGGTTGCTTTTAGGGCTTTTTGAAGGAATTCTGCCTCTCGCAAGGGGTTTAGGGTTTGGTCTGCTTTTGCTGTGTGGGCAAGGGATGGGTGCTCGTTTCGGCACACTTGCTTCTATATGCGACTGCCGAGATAGGAGAAGGCTGGAAACCGGGAGGCTCAAAGCGTGAGAAAGGAAACGAAGGCATCGGCTGATATTGCCGAAAGAAGATACCACTCCGACCACCCCTCGACCCAGTTCAAACGAGACTGCTGTGTCGACACCCATGGTGCGGGCCAAGACCGATGCGGAACATCGCGACAGACGCCAAATGACTGCAGCAACCCTGGTAGAGGCATTCGTAAGGGAACTGAAGTATATCAATTATCTGGTCCTCCATATGCACACATATAGAGAAACATATAAACATGCACATATCTTTATACGTCGAGGAATCAAAACAAACAACAAAGCGGTTGTTGTACATGTCAAGACATCATATGTACAACACATATTTCTGATGCTCATTCTAGGTTTCCAGGACCCTGTCCCTGTCTTTCTCTTTTGCCATTGTCGCTTTCTGTTTGTGTGTCACTCTTTCTCTCTCTGTCTGTCTCTCTCTCTCTCTCTCTCTCTCTCTCTCTCTCTCTCTCTCTCTCTCTCTCTCTCTCTCTCTCTCTCTCTCTCTCTCTTTGGCTATCCATTTCTCTTTCTCCTCTCTCTCTGTCTCTCCCTCTCTCTTTCTCTCTATCTTTCTCTCTCTGCCTCTCTACCTCTCGGCCTCTCTCTCTCTCTCTGTCTGACTCTCTCTCGCTCTCTCCGCACACAGTGCCGCACACAGTCACAAGTCACAAGCTGCACGCAACTTCGGAGGCTGTTGCCTGTTGCTGCTGCTGCTGTTGTTGCTGTTGTTGCTGTTGTTGGTTCTGCTGCGACGACGCTGGCCACTCGACTCTTTCGTTTTCACGATTCATTCACTCTTCGACTGGTATCTGCGAGGCCTGGCCTTGCAGACTGCAAGCACGGAGCACCGGAGCATAGAGTTCGGGACCCGCAACAAGTTGAAGTTGAACTTCTCTGGTACATTTGGATAATGTAGTGGGTACAAACACATCAAGTTAGGACCTTTAAACGCAGCCGTTCAAGCTTTTGCAACAGTATCGAATATCTTATGTCCATAAGAATCAAGTGAGTTAAGCTCAGACATACGTGCACAGGATCGCTGCTTGACGAGTTGCAACCCAGGACTGCTTCAAAGCGTTCGGTATCGCATCTAGCCTAGAACCCCTAAACCCCTAAACCCTAAACCCTACGGGGTTGGAAGGACTCGAGGACCAAAATCCTCCCAGCGACTAAAGACCTCCAGCTACCTAGGCTTCGGTTGAGGTGTGAGGCTCGGGAATCTATGTGGGACCGGGACAGGGCTTGCGACTTGTTGGTTGTAAAACGAAGCAGGCACGACAAGCTGAGGTTTAAGCCTCAGAGTCTTAGAGCCTTCGGAGGCTTAGGGGGTCATTATATTATGGGGCCCAACGAGTGCGCCAGCGAACTACCAAGCTCAGGCTTTGCAAGCTGAAGACACACCCGCTTGGCCCATCACCTCCTCTCAGCCCACTGGAGCTTCGGCCTGCCAACGTCAGCAACACTACCGGAAAACATAAAATCCCAACGTGCTCAGCTTCAAGCAATGTGCCGGCGACTGATGCACTTCTACTGATCTGACGAAAACTACCACGGACCATTGATCTGTGAATGCAGCAGATGCAGCTTGCATGGTCCAGCATTACGTCAGCACATGGTTCTGTGAGCACAAACACCTCTGACCGAACTCGAGCCCGCCTATTGAATCTGCAAAGCCGACGACCGTGGCAAGACGCTCACCTTGCACAAGGTACAAATCGGATGCCACAGTTTCACGTATCCCCAGACGCATGTTGACACGGCCTCAGAAGTCCCCTGCCTCGGCTTTCACCAGGGTCCTGGTCCCCGATTGGCGACGACGAAACATCAGGCCTTGAGAAGCAGAATCCACGCGGTCCATGCGGTTTGTCGCTTCAGACTTCAGACCCAGACCCGCATGTCTGCTGCAACACTTTCGAGACAGTCAAGCATACACAGCCGAACCGATAACAGTGTGGATCGCACGTTTGCCCCTCCTGTCCTATCCATGATATCATCACACACGTCCCTCTGCCGGGGTCCCAACAGAGCTCGACGAACTGGATGACGAGGATGAGGAGCCCGAGGAG